AAGGATAACGGGTTGTTCTGAATCACCCTGTATATGTACACGCACAGTTTCCGCACAAACATCCTGCGAATGGCTCGTAAGGCCTTATATATTTCTTATTGTATTTTCATATTATCTGGGAAGAGGAGAAAGACAAATTTTTAATAATTTTAAAATATTTACTTATCATCCGCAAAAGAAATCCTATTTGCTGGTTTCATGATTTGGACGTGAGCATTTGTGCTAAATCTTATGACTTTTCTTTCTTTCCTCAATCCAAAATTATCTTGAAACAATTAAAGTAAAGGTAAAATTAAAAATAACAACGTGATAAAGAAAAAACTTTTTACTTGTACTTTTTTAATACCTTTGAGTTTTGTAACATTGAGAATTAATTTCATAACCAGTTTGCCAACATCCTTTTGCGTCTTTAAAGCTCTCAGGTTGCAACAAACCGTCGCACAATTCACGCCGATTGTCGAACAATTCAAATACACGGTATCTCTTTCCCAAGATGTTAGATTGTTACCGCTTTGATCGTTTGACGTTAATTTCGCATAATATAACTTTTGCATAAAGTGAGCTGCTATAACAGCTTTATCCGTTATATCCCTTTTTGACAGACTGTGAGATGTATCGTTATTCAAGTTATATATATCATTTGACGCTGTACTCTTCCAAACGTCATTTTGTTGTCCATCGTTAACTAAATCAATACCACTCGACAAGCAATCATAATACTTTCCGGAGATATATATCTAATAAAAAAAAATTTAAATATTTCGCGAACATTCGATAAACAATAGTTGCAAAATATAATTGAAAATAAAACACGATTATTTGTTATAATCATTTTGGAGTTGTACTACGGATTGTTAAAAAACTTACACGCGGTTGATATAAATCTACAAAGGAGTCAGAATCGTTCACGGACGTTGGCACATCGATACTGAGTTCTGCTTCTTCTATGGACGTCGCACCGAGTTTCAATAAATGATAATGATGTTGGAATGTTATATTCAATTGATCGTCGTCTGATTCAGGTAAATAATAACTTTTTTCTATCGCTTTCCTAAAATAATAAAAAACAATATGTATCTCAACGTGATGAAGGTTGATATTATACCCAGTTAGCCAAATGTGAAAACTCAATATAAAGCAAATCATTGTATGGATTAAGTTGCTCGCCAATTGCTGTTGTGTTGTTTTTATTTAACGCAACAAAAATGTTTTTGTCAACCCGGGAAAAAATGGATTAAATCTAAATAGATCTAATTTAAATCTAACAAGATAAAAAAAATGGAAAACTAGATCTAATTAGATCCAAATAAGATCTAAATAGATATAAAGTAGATCTAAATAGATATAAGTAAATCTATGTACATTTACACTTTATTTATCATTAGATCTACTTTAGATCTACTCAGATCTACTATATTAGATCTATTCAGATCTGCTTAGTTCTGTTTAGATCTGCTTAGATCTAATAAAATAAATCTGAGTAAATCTATAGATCTAAAATAGATATACAGATAAATAAAGTGTAAATTTACATAGATCTATTTATATTTGTTTAGATCAACTTTATATCTACTTAGATGTAATTAGATCTCTTTTTCCATTTTTTTTATCTTGTTAGATTTAAATTAGATCTATTTAGATTTAATGCATTTTTTCCCGGGAATTCAGTATCAATAAACGGAAAAAAAAATAGTTTCTACCACAGCTAAGTACGGTTTGCTGAACTAAATTTGCTGCTGTAGCTATAAAATTTCCTGTTACATAGAAACAGTTTGCTGATATTCCTAAATATTTCGACATAATAGCAAAATATGTAGATTTTGCTAAAAAGCTTAGGTGTCCATAATTCTACTAAAATTTAGGAACCACACCTAATTTTGGTAGAATTATGGACACCTAAGCTTTTTAGCAAGATCTACATATTTTGCTATTATGTCGAAATATTTAGGAATATCAGCAAACTGTTTCTATGTAACAGGAAATTTTATAGCTACAGCAGCAAATTTAGTTCAGCAAACCGTACTTAGCTGTGGTAGAAACTATTTTTTTTTCCGTGTATGCTGAGTTTTATTATCAATTGTTGTAGCCAATGTTTATGACATGTGAGTCAGCAATATGTGAGCAATATATGAGCAATAATTTTTATTCATGAGTTGAGAAAAATAATAGAAGTTTATTGCCAATGAGTTGTTGGGAACTTGCTGTTATTATATCTTGTAAATTGTTGCTGGCAAGAACATACCGAAAAGAGAATACACCCTTTTGTTACATTGCTGAAAACATATGAGCAATATTTGTGGCAAGTTGCCAACAACTTGCACTCAGTTGGCTATCTGGGTAGATACCCCAACAGGTAAATTGTGAAAATATTGCACAAAACTGGCATAATGAATGACGACGATTTTGCAATGATTGCACTAAGATGATTCGCCACAACGCAACAGTTTTGTCGAAATAAAATTTTGTAAATAATACTTGTCAAAAATTTATAGAAAAGAGTCGTTATGCATTTCCGTAAGTATATACATGAATTAATTTGATTTCTTCATATGCAATTATATATTTCTCTACACGTTTTAAACATCACATAGCTGAAAATTTTTTTCTCAATTATAAGACAATTTCTTTTTGAAATTAATTTTGCAAATATACTGCTGATTGCACTAAGATGATTCTCCATATAGTTATTCTTTTGCCGAAATAGTATTCGAAAATTAGTTTTGCAAACAACTGCAAATATTTTACAAAAGAGATCAATGGTTTTTTACATCTATTTCCTAAAATATATTTGTATAATTGCAAATTTAACAATTTTAGTTTGCAAGATTTTGTCACATAATTTCATAAATGTTATCGAGGTGCTTATTTTCATAATCTTTTCAAAGTACACACACTTACCCATTTAATGACGAGGACGCTTCACTTATTAAGGCGAGCGAAAGCTGAATTTTATGCATACCGTGATTAACACTACGCGTTTTTATTTCCGCAGAAAAGTTCAAAACTGTTCCGTGAAGCGAACCGTCGGTTATATATCTCATATCCAGATCCAGTTTCACAATTTTCTGTAAAAAATTAATGTTAAAAGAAAGCTTTTTATATTTTGTTTGTAAAAACTGTTGGAACAAATAAACCTGCTCGTTCGTTTTAAGTGGATTGCTGACTTCGCAAACAACTATTAAAATATTCCCATTCCGATCTTCCTCACAAGACGGTAAGATACTATGCAATATGATTCCGTTCGGAAAGGTAAACGCGATTGTTGTCAGATACGCCAGCTCGTCATGATTTTCTAAGACTGTCTCCAAAATAATATCATTGGAACCAATTGCCCATGAATTATTTTCTCTATATACATTTAAATAGATCATATTAGTGCGTTCGTGTGTTAGCTTCCCGGGAAAAAATGGATTAGATCTAACTTAAATTTAACGAGATAAAAAAAAATGGAAAAATAGATCTAATTAGATCCAAATTAAATCTAAATAGATATAGAGTAGATCTAAATAAATTATAAAGTAGATCTAAATAAATATAAGCGGATCTATTGAATTTGCATCTTTATATATTATTAAATCTAATTTAGATCTACTCAGATCTAACTATAATTAAAACCAGGGACTTATACCGGTATGCAAAATACCGGTATTTTACCGATATTTTTGGGTAATACTATGAAAACCCTTATGCAAACCGAAATGCAGAAATACCGGTATGACGTCATACCGGTATACGATAATACCGGTATATTTACCCATATTTACCTATATTTACCGATAATTTTTTCGTGATTTTTAAAAAGTAATATCTTAAAACTATAAGTGTTGTCATTATGTTGATAACACTTTTTAATAATATAATGTTTATAAAAAACTGCGCCCAGAAACTTAATATTATTTAAATTATTATTATTTTTTTATATAATTAAGAACAGTAACAATAATTAATATAATTAAGAACAGTAACAAAATACACATAGACATATTTATCAATATCCAAATTTGTTAAAAATTTCACTTTACATTAGTCATGCTACGTAATAAAAGAAAGCATGAATAAACAGCTGCTTCAATTGGTTTATAAAAAAAAGCGTCTTTATATTTTGTCGGTCTATAAGCGGTAGGAAGATTAATTATGCAACAAAGATTGCTTTAATTAACTTATCTAATTTTTAAGAATACCATTAGTAGGAATACCGAAATAATACCGGTATTTTATTACGGTTTTCGGTACGTATCGGTTTCGGTACTATAACGGTAACGGTATACAATCTCTAGTATAATACCGGTATTGAAATCATACCGGTAATAAGTCCCTGATTAAAACTACACAGATTTAGTTAGATTTGAGCAGATCTGAACAGATCTGAGGTGATCTAATATATAATAGATCTGAGTAGATCAAGAGTAGATCTAATAATAAATAAAAGTTTAAATTTCCATGGATCTACTTATATTTATTTAGATTTACTTTATATCTGTTTAGATTTAATTTGGATCTAATTAGATCTATTTTTCCATTTTTTTTTATCTCGTTAAATTTAAGTTAGATCTAATTAGATCCATTTTTTCTCGAGTTCACGTATAAACAAAACGTATATTATTATTTTTGATAATATTACTTGCCTGACTCCCAAAAATTTCATTGTTGCAGTTATATTACAATTGCAAATTCTATCCTCACCGCAACCGATGTCGAAGGGTAGCACATTTTGTACACTGCTTGATTTATTATCTTTACTTTCAACAGGACATGTTTTGCAGAATTCAGCAGAAGACAAAACGTCATGCGTAAATTTGTGTGATGCGTAAATATTAATTGGTTCAATGAAATCTTGAATATTCGTCTGCAATATGTATACACAATATGATATTATTGTGTGTAAAATGTATAGAAATATCAAATAATCATATAATTACTTTGTTTCAAGGAGAACAAGAAGTCACGAAAAAGTCAAAATGACGTCATTTTTATCTCAAAAGATCATTATTTCAAGCAGTCAGATTAGTAAAGTCAAAATGATGTCGTAATGATCTTTGTGCAATAACTTCTTTAAAAATGCGCTTTTTTGTATCCCATCATCTCATTCATCTTCTTTTGCGTCCTTACAGTCTTTCAGCATAGTCCGACTCTCAGATTAAAAACCGTGCGTGAGACCTTTTGTGCAAAAAATCATTAAAATCCTATAGTTGAAGTTTACCGGTTTTCCGGCACAAGTTAATAATTACGACTATCCCTGATAGGAAACCATTTACAAAATTATGTGACGAAATCTTGCACTAAAATTGTAATTTGCAATTATACAGACATATTTTAGGAAATAGATGTAAAAACATTGATCTTTTCTGAAATATTTGTAGTTGTTTGCAAAATTACTTTCCAAATACTATTTCGGCTAAAGAATAACGATATGGCGAATCATCTTAGCGGTACATTTGCAAAATTAATTTCACAAAGAAATTGTCCAATAATTGAGAAAAGAAATTCAGCTATGTGATGTTTCAAATATGTAGAAATATGATTGCGTATGAAGAAATGCAAGAAATCGTCGTCATGATGTCATATTTGTACAATATTTTCACAATTCGCCTATTGGAGGTATATACTGTGAAAATGCATAACGACTTTTTCGCAATTGTTGACAAATATTATTTACAACATTTTATTTCGACAAAACTGTTGCGTTATGGTGAATCATCTCAGTGCAATCATTGCCAAAATCGTCGCCATTCATGATGCCATTTTTGTGCAATATTTTCACAAATGTGCCCCTATTAAGGATTATAAAGCACCTCTTACGGCTGTTTCACTATAAGGAAAATGGTGTAAGCGCAGTATGATCGCACGCTTTAAAACAACCCTGATGTTGTCTAGTGACAAAATACCCAGATAGCCAAATGTGAAAAATCAATGTAAAGCAAATTATTGTATAGATTAAGTTGTTCGCCAATTGCTGTTGTGGTGTTTTTATTTAATGCAACGAAAATATTTTTGTCAATTCAGTATCAATATGCTGAGTTTTATTATCAATCAATTGTTGTAACCAATGTTTAGGACATATGAGTCAGCAATATGTGAGCAATATATGAGCAATAATTTTTATTTATAAGTTGAGAAAAATAATATAAGTTTATTGCCGATGAGTTGTTGGGAACTTGCTGTTATTATATCTTGTAAACTGTTGCTGGCAAGAACATACCGAAAAGAGGATACACCCTTTTGTTACATTGCTGAAAACATATATGAGCAATATTTGTGGCAAGTTGCCAACAACTTGCACCCAGTTGGCTATCTGGGATAATAATGTCAAAATCTCGTCATTTTTTACTGTTATTTTGACCCTGGTGGTTTTAACATCATTCTGACGTTTTCGTAACTTTTTGTTCTCCTTGGAGTGTAATACCTATACATTTATAAATAGTATGATATTATTAATAAAATATCAAATGTAAGTATATTATATTATACATGTACCGAAAGTGTAACAGTGACATTTATACACATATCAAGAGGAGGATTTGCCGAGACCATTTCCAATGAAGTCTCTTTGGTACGTTTGTATTTCTTGTCCACGATAAGAGAGATTTTGAAAGCTGCAAATTAAATAGAAAAATTTTGAAATATTACGTATCACGTTTTAGTGAGTTACACATATACTAAATTTATTAATTAGCTTACGGTGCATATTTGCCGTGTCGTAACCGTGATATTTAACACACGCCGTAATCAAAAAGTTGCTATCATTTCTCTTCAATATGCTTGGAGTAGTGATAATGGTCAAATTTGTTTGTGCAACTGGTTTACTTCGAAGTATGATCACATGTCCCGATTTATACGCGCCTACGGCAATGTCGGCGTATCTATGAATACAATCAAAAAATATATTCTTGTTAACAAGATAAATTATTTTGTCAATATTATTCACACAAATGTAAGAACCCGAGAAAAAATGGATTAGATCTAATTTAAATCTAACGAGATCAAAAAAATGGAAAAATAGATCTAATTAGATCCAAATTAAATCTAAATAGATGTAAAGTTAGATCTAAATAAATAAATTAGATCTAAATAAATATAAAATAAATCTAAATAGATATAAGTAAATCTATGGAAAAATTTACACTTTTATTTATTATTAGATCTACTCTTGATCTACTCAGATCTATTATATAATAGATCACCTCAGATCTGTTCAGATCTGCTCAAATCCAACTAAATCTGAGTAAAAAATAAAAAGTGAATAGAAATGCTCCAAAAAATATTCGAGAATTCAGAAAATATTGGCCGTATGGAGCAAACACAGTGTTATTAGTGTGTGTGAAGTAAATTACTTTATTAATTAAAAACAAAACGTTTTCGACCTCGGTTTAGGTCCTTATCAATGTTTTTTAGTGACAATAAGTTGAGNTNNANNTNNANCTCAACTTATTGTCACTAAAAAACATTGATAAGGACCTAAACCGAGGTCGAAAACGTTTTGTTTTTAATTAATAAAGTAATTTACTTCACACACACTAATAACTGTGTTTGCTCCATACGGCCAATATTTTCTGAATTCTCGAGTAAATCTGAGTAGTTTTAATTATAGTAGATCTAAAGTAGATTTAATAATATATAAAGGGGTGTAAATTGAATAGATCTGTTTATATTTATTTAGATCTACTTTATATTTATTTAGATCTACTCTATATCTATTTAGATTTAATTTGGATCTAATTAGATCTATTTTTCCATTTTTTTTTTTTTTATCTCGTTAATTTTAAGTTAGATCTAATCCAGTTTTTTCCCGTGAATTATATAGCGTAGCGCAGCAGTCCTAACTAACCCATTGTCGTCAATATCAATCGGTTCGGATATGGAAAATCCAAACGTTCGTATATTTATTTCTTTCGTTGGAAACAAACCAGACGATTCCATTTCGATTCTTTGCGATACGGCAGGTCGTACTTTGTTTTTTAAACTTGCATCACCGTAGTAAATATAAATTACTCCAGACCCTTCCCAGGGTGCGCCCACTATAATATCTAGAATTGTACACGTTAGTATTGCGAACTTGTATATATATCTAGATGTTCTCTCTCTCTCTCTCTCCCGTCTCTTCGCTAACAGCAATTAATATTAATTACCACTAAATCCATCTTTATCTAGATCGCCGCTTGCCACGGTGTAGCCAAACTGTGCATCTTCCGCGGCGCCTTCTAAAATTACAACCGCTTCAAATTCTTCCTAAACAAATATTTTATTAATATGTTTTTGCGATAATTTATAAATATCACAGATGTACGTGTTTGTAACATTACCTCCGGCTGACCTAAATATATATAAACTTTGCCGTTGTCATTTCCCCAAAGCGGAGATCCCACTATAAGATCGTCTAAGCCGTCGTTGTTTAAATCACCGCTAGCCAAACCTGCTCCAAAAAACTCACCAATGTCACTGCCAAACAAATGAGCGTTTGTATATGCGCTCTCTTTATTCGTGTCAATTACAACAACCTGTGATAAAAACAGGTAATATCACAATTGTTATATCCTACTTTTAAATATGGCAAAGGGAAATATTTTATACCTGTCCTACGTAATTCCATCCTGGATCCGAACAGGCATAGAGAAATCGTTTTTGATCAAAATAATATCCTGCAGTTATCATGTAGCCTATAATAAGTGTACTACACCTTAATTTGTTACAACAATCCGTTTCTAGATATTCATTTTTTGTTTTAGCGTTACGATATTTATCTAATATAGAGTTTTGCACGTACCATATTGTGACGTATCGTCATGTACCGTTAAATTTAGCATTTTTCGAGAACTTTCGTCAAATTTACCGGCTCTTGAAAAACGTCCAACATTGATACTGCCGACAACTTCGTCGTTTGGATTTCCTACAACACGGCTTATTGTTTCTTCTTCCTGTAAGAATTAAGTCTATAATCTTTTATAATAGCTTATAAGATAATAATATATTTTATACAAGGTTGGGTAAGTTAAATTTTTTTTTTTATTTAAGTTAAGTTACAGTTAAAGGTCTTAAAAATTTTATTTAGTCAAGATATAAGTTAATCCATAATGAAATTAATTGATTAAAAGTTAAGTTAATAAAAAAAAATAATTAACAAGTTAAAAGTTAAATTTTTTTTCATGATTTTAGTGTTTTAGTCTTACAAATAATTACAAACATTTACAGTGTTTTAATCTTACATATCATGAAAAAAAAAATGTACACTTTATTTAGAAATATACTTTATATATATTTTATTATAAATTATATTGCGTTGGACTTTACGACCAGCGTTTAGTTTGGCTCAATTCTCGAACACGTACGAATTTATTCGCATATAAAACGAATCATTCTGAGCTTTGTGATTGGTCGAATTTTTCGGCCTACAAACATGTAAAATTAATTATGATCATACGACGAGAAATATGTTCCGTTTTGTATGCAAACAAATAAAAAATCTTATGGCTATAGTAGATTCAAGAGAGTTGAAATAAAAAGTTACTAGTTACCGATAAAATATAACTAAATAAAGTTAAAAGATAAGAGTCTAAAAATGTAACTAGATAAAGTTAAAATTATTTAACTTTTTAACTTTTTAACTTAACTTTTATCTTTTTAACTAGACACTACCCAATCTTGATTTTATAATATAAGAAAATATATTGAAATCTTTTATGATATAAGAAAATTTAAATGGCACCCTGATAGGAAACCATTTGAAAAATTATGTGACGAAATCTTGCACTAAAATTGTTATTTGCAATTATACAGACATATTTTAGAAAATAAATGCAAAAACATTGATCTTTTCTAAAATATTTGTAGTTGTTTGCAAACTTACTTTCTAAATACTATTTCGGTTAAAGAATAACGATATGGCAAATCATCTTAGCGGTATATTTTCAAAATTAATTTCACAAAGAAATTGTCCAATAATTGAGAAAAGAAACTCAGCTATGTGATGTTTCACATATGTAGAAATATGATTGCATGTGAAGAAATGCAAGAAATCGTCGTCACTCATGACGTCATATTTGTGCAATATTTTCACAATTCGCCTATTGGAGGTATATACTGTGAAAATGCATAACGACTTTTTCGCAATTTTTGACAAATATTATTTACAAAATTTTATTTCGACAAAACTGTTGCGTTATGGCGAATCATCTTAGTGCAATCGTTGCCAAAATCGTCGCCATTCATGATGCCATTTTTGTGCAATATTTCTCACAAATGTGCCTATTAGGGGTATAAATACACACATACCTGTGTCGATGCAAACATAACGGAGAAACCTTGAATTGGATCAAACCACGTATATCTGCTGTAATCTAAAATGCACATTTGATGTTAAATAAAATCTCTTATGTTATTACTTTAATATTTAACATTCATATTTTAAACGGGTTAGTTTTTACTATTTTTTTTTACATATTTATACACACTGTTATTATAATACAAATGTAAAACCGTAAAACAAAAAGGAGTGAACATATAAATTAATCATATAAATGATATAATTACTAGATGACACATTTTGATAATAAATCGTAAAATAAAGCAACAAAATAAATAAATGAATAAATACCAAACTGATTAATTTCAAATATTTCTGCTGTCATTGTATTTGACAACATCTGATTGCTGTAACACATGCCTTGCATGGTATTCACATATTTTAATTCCTTCTTATCAGGGAATATACTCATAATTGTTCGCGGTGCGCATATCTATAATGTAAAAAAAAAAATAAAGTTACGATCAATTACATATAATTTCCAATTTCACGCCAAGCTTTTTGTCACGCACCGTTAAAAAACCGCTATATCTTTCTATAGACATTGCGCCACCAAACCAAGAATGATCGTTCGTTAAATACGCGCGCATGCCAATCTGACGTATGTAAACTTTTTCATCCTCAAGTACAGTCGATTCTATTTCGACACATGAACCTGGTAAGTTACATCGATAAGCTACTCCTGGTTCGCTTTTTTTCAATAATTTATTGCGCGATGGTTTTGTATAATTTCCTCGAGGTGCTCCTACAAACAACCTGTTAAAAAGGAACGCATTCACAATTAAGAACAATTTTATATAATACCTACAAGATATATATCTTATAATATAACCAGCAATGTGCATATGCTGTGATAATACGCTTTCCCACAAAATATATTTTTTAACAAGAAATATATAAAGCCTTACGAGCCATTCGCAGGATGTTTGAGCGGAAACTGTGCGTGTATATGTGTATATATACAGGGTGTCCCAGAATTGCCGTACAATCTCTCGTAGGCAGGTAGAAGGAATAAAACTGAGTCGAAAAGTCCTGAACCATTTTTTTCTATTATTTATAATAAAGGAGTAAATTATTGAGTAAATCAGGCCAATCAGCGCCGATCTTTAGCCAGGCGCACGTCAGTGAGCCACGCGCCTGGTGTGTGTGTGAGCACTCCGCGCAGACTTCACTGACGTGCGCCTGGCTAAAGGTCGGCGCTGATTGGCCTGATTTACTCAATAATTTACTCCTTTATTATAAATAATAGAAAAAAATGGTTCAGGACTTGTCGACTCAGTTTTATTCCTTCTACCTGCCTACGAGAGATTGTACGGCAATTCTGGGACACCCTGTATATACACATGTAACGAATTCAACTTGACTAAATTTTTACAAGTGAGTGTTTTTTTAATTGAAATCTCAATTCTTAAATTCATACGGGATGCTGGATTTGCATCTCACATATGAAAGACCCCGGATACTCCCCTAACTAATTTTTAAAATATTGCGAAAAAAACTCCTCGGCCAGGAGTCGAACCTGCGAATGGCTCGTAAAACCTTATATACTTCTTGTTATCAATTTCAACGAGCCTTAAGTCGTTAATTGTTTAATTTTTATTGACTGAATGGTGATTACCATGAAGCGTTTTTTTGAGGATCATGATGGAGCAGGACTGAATAGCCGAAATAACTGCGATTGAATTGCGTGTCGACATACTGATCCGCGTTTAATGCACTGTCCGGATAGATTATCGGATACTTTGTATCGATATTATATGCATACACAATTAGGAGATCGAAGACGAATAATATAAATTTCATTGCTACGAAACGTTCAATCCATGAGTTATTACGATGTGAATATGTAAAAACTTTATACATTTTCATGTAGTCATAAACTGCAAACACACTCGTGTATATCAACGACTTGTATGATCACTTCCTTCGTAAATTTTTTAATAAATTATAGAATGAAATTTTGTTGCGGAACAAAATACACGAATAATAATGTGAATATAGTTTTTCTGTATATAATATCGTCACTCCCTACGAATAATTACATAAGTGTCACATATGGGATTTTCAGTTTATTGCATAGTGACACTCAGAAAGTCATGTTCTTTGTGGTCACCAAGTATTAAAAAAAA